CATGAGGTCCCTTTCAGCCTTACTTTCCTGGGATTTATCTCTTAGCACTAACACCCACATCTCTCCCCACTATGAACCTATAGTTCCCAGGTCTACTCATGTACTCATCACAAGTTTACTAATAGCCAGTTGGATTGTGGGATGGAGTGGGCCATCAGAAGGAACTGTGACTTCCTTTTGGTTCATGGCTGGAGTAAAGCTAAAAAGCCCAAATTCACTCATGTCAGAATACGGATGAATCTTAAATTCCAGTCTGAAAGTTTTACTTCTAACCTGTCTCCTATAATAACCAGAAAATTATGTCAGTAATATTAATAAAAAGCCCACAAAGGGGCAGAGTCTTACAAAATCATGGGGAAAATGTTACCTTCTCTTGTTAAAGGAGGCAGTAGGCATGGATATGCATAAGCTGCAGCTCATTCTTGGGAAATATAATAAGCAATAACTTGCAAGGTAGTATGCACTATTTCATAAGAAAAACAAAATGTTCAGAGTAGATCATGTTGTTGGACTTCAAAATTGCTCCTTAATTTTATCCAGGTTATAATCTCCTTTGACACTGGCAAAAATTAAGTTTCTTAATTCATAATTTAAACCAGCTGGCAAGAATGACAAACCATGGAATTCCAATACACACATAGCAGTTGGTAGCCCGATCCAGTTCATGACCAGGGATCCTAGTTTTCCATGGGAAAAAGCAAAACAATCTCCACTTAAAAACATAAATATCCATGATTTTCTGTGGTTTTCTGTGGCAAACAGAAAACTAATATCCCTGCTCATGACCATAACCTACCAAAATCACATGTGCTGTTAATATCAGCTAAGTAATTAATATTTTTAGTAGTAATAAAGGAACAAATCTGTTAACTGGGAGTTGGTATAAATCATGGATGGCCAAACATCCACACCCTACTGTCTGCAAACCAAAATCTTGACATGGCTAAGAGTGTCAGGACACACATTTTCTGAGCTACACATTTCAAAGTCAGTTATTGGAGCATGGCACCGAAGCTCAAATAATAATAAATGAACAGACAGAGAGAAAAATAATAGGTTTATTTAGCTACTTCTATGTCTTCAGATACCAAGTTTAAACCAACTGGGCCAAGTTTAAACTACATGTGAATTTAAGCAGGTTTAAATTTAATGCACATTAGCTTAATGCACATTAAGCATTTTTTGGCAGGTGTCTACATGTGGTGGGACTTGGGACTAACTTTAGTCCCAAGTCAGTCCAGCCCTGCCACTGGAGGGAGTTCTGTGGCCACTGGAGGGAGCTACAGCACTTGGCAGCCATGCTAAAGCCAGAGCCAACTGTCAGCACTTGGCAGCCATTTCAAAAGCACACCCTCTGCATTGTGACCTCTGGACTGACGCTTCTGGCGTCAGAGCAGCAGCATGGCAGAGACACAGGCAGCACGTGCCTGCTCTGCTCCTGCTGCAGCTGCATTTCCCAGCCCTGGCTGCCCCAGGTCCTGGACCTGGTGCTCAAGGACGGGGTCCTCCACTCCTCAGGGCAGCTACAGCTGTCCTGCTTACCCACCGCTATTCTGTGCGCCTGGTACTTGGCCACCTAGCACTTCCTAACTCTCCCACCTGCTCCAACCACCTTCTGGATGACTGGTATATGGCCTTCCAGGGCCCCCACTGCTGCACAGCTGCTCTTGCCAGCCCCAGGGACCATGGACTCCAGGATGCCACTGCTGGGACTGCCATCACCACTACCTCTGGGCCTGCCGTGCCAGTCAGAACTGGTGGCAGTGCATTGTGCTGCAGGAAGGGGAATTCTTCCCACTTGACACATTCTGGATGACCCAGGCCACCTTTGAAGACCTGCTGTGCCAGCTCCAGCCCCACTTGGAGCACCAGGACACAGAGAAGCTCCCAGCTGTTTCTGCCAGCACCTGTCTGCCCCACCACCCACACACCCCCTACCCCTGCCTGCCCCCCAGCACCATTTCAGGATACGTACATGTTTGTAATGAAAACCTTTATTCCCCTCAGAAGCCCCACCCCCATCCCAAGAGACAGAAACCTTTTGTGTGAATTTGCAACACTGCAGAGATAATATGCTCTGCACCAGTGGCCCTGCGCTACCTGGCCTCAGATTGGAGGTCAGCTGTGCACGGGTGCCCAGGGACCATAGTAAGCTGTCCAGGCAGGGCTGGGCCCAGGTGACAGCTGGACAAGACCCCCAGCCCTGCTTGCTCCCTTGGGATGAGCATGGTTTTACAGGCACATGAAGTCGGTCATGACCACCCACTGTGCCTGCAAGACCTTGACCTTCATGTGGCACTTCCAGGCCATCTGGGAGTGGCCTCACACATGTATCCCAGCTTAAATGGCTTCATAAATGTGCGTATTCAAGTGCCCACCCTGTGCGAACTGCCTCTGGACGTCAGCTGTGCCCCAAAGTGGCACAAGGTCATGTATCTCCTTGCAGGTCCAGTTGGGGGCCTGGGCACTCAGGATGGGTATGAGCATGTGGGCAGAGCCAGGGATCAACAGGGATGATGTGCTGGACATGCTCCCCACGCCAGCTTTCTGGGCCCCTGTGTGGCTGTCCCTGCAATGCCAGCCCTGGATGTCTGCCAGCAGCACCCTGGACAGGAGCATGACTATCGATGGGGAGCCACATGGCAGAGCCACTTCACCACAGTGCCTGCAAAGAGAAAGCTGGGGGTGAGGGGCATCAGGGAACAGGTGCTGGCTCTGCTGCCATAAACAGCAGGGCCAACAGCTCTGGGGAGAATCTCAGGACTGGGCAAGGCATGCAGCAGGCTGCAGCCCTTTGCAATACTCACTGTGGGCAAGGAGCAGCTCCAGCTAGGGGACAGGATGGGCAGAGGCTGCCTGGGTCCTGTCCAGTGGGGTGCATGGGGCCTGGTGGGCTCCTGCAGACAGCACTGGCTCCTTCAGGTCCCCTGTGCTGTGTGCTCCAAGGCACAAAATGGCTGAAGGCTTTTATAACCTGCAGCTAGGGGCTGCCAGAGAGCAGCTCAGCTCTGGAGGAGAAGAGACAGCCAGCCAAGAGACCCAGCACTGAATTCCCTTTGTTAATGTGCATTAACACATCAACATGTGTGTCAATGTGCTTTAATAAGTCACACTTAAATTTGATACTTGCTTTATGCAGGTATCAAATTTAGGCAGAAATAGCCTAAATTTGCCATTTTTAAGGTGCATAAAGGGCACAGACATGTAGATGCGCACCCTTAATGTGCCTTAAATTGGGCTAATGTGCATTAAATGCCCATGTGAGGACATGCCCACTGACAGCTACATGTAGGTCATGAGCAATGGGTTGATTCCTCCTGGTGTAGTTGCTAAAATAATCCATTAGAAGGACATGATCAAATTCACTAATGGAGAAACACCATCCACCTTCAATAATACTGCAGCTATTTATTTGAAAGTAAATATTTTACACAAAGGATAATCTCTAAATTGCAAGAGGGAGCGGGGGTTTACAGTGTCACATATTAGAATATATGGTATTGGCCTGGCAAACCAACAGTAACTGAAAGCATGAAAGAAAATTCATTAAAAGAGAACAATCCATTTTCATCTGGGGAAAAACTAAATGTCTTCTCATTTGCTGTGGGTGAGATGTGCTCAGCCTCTATGGAATTGATATAATGTTGAATAGGAGCAGAAAAATATGAGGAACAATAGCCTGGCAGGGATTCCTGAACAATGATTAGGAGTGAAAATCCAGCTCTGATGGGAATGGCTGATGAGTTTAACAAATTCTTTATTCAAGGCAGATGCCTACAATTTTTTTACATTTCATGTGGGCGAGAATGTCGACTGACTCCTTAATAATTCATGCCCCTACTATATGCAGTAAACTGAATTTAGTTGTTTAACACAGTGCCACATTTATTTTTAGGTACATTGGAAGTGACACACTGCGTTACTTTGGTAGGGATAGAAAAACAAAATTTCATGGGGAAATGCTTGTCCCTTTTCTGCCCCAACTTTCTTTAGCAGTTTTCTTCCCAATGGAAAAGGGCTGGAAGTGCCCCAGTTTAGAGCCCCTCTAATGCGTGATACGTGGGCTTGGGTGCTATGTGAAGCTGCTCTAAATTAGAACATGCTACTTCCACAGGGCTCCCAGCCTAGAGTACCAGGCCTACGGGCAGGCCCCATGCTCCAGGTTTCAAGGTGGGTAAATGTTGGGCCAGAGATGTGTATTTACTGTTAATAAAGCTGTTCTAAGTGCACTCAGCAGGGCACTTGTGTGGAATGTTAGTTCTGCTTCTGAAGCTTTTTGGTATTGACAAATATATGAGGAAACACCCTATTATTATACATGAGAACAGGATACAGAACCCACAGCATCAAGGAAAAAGATGTCAGACCTCAGAGAAACCAGCCTAGGCTGGCTCAGAGCCTAATGGTGTTTGAGACAATATATCATTTATTAGTTTATTCACTGATCTGGTCTTGACCACTCTCACAAAGAAAGAACCTGTCTGTCTGATTTATACTGTACCCCATCATTATAGTATGCAAATGCCTTACTAGAAAAATATATTGGAAACCACAATGTTCCTAATGGATTTCCTGGAGTATCTGGCACTTCTTCCTTTATGTAGTATAAAAACTCAGCTTGGGATAAAATTGCAGTATAATTCATTTGTTAGGTCAATTTGTGTGTAAGAATCAGTGATAAGGTTAGGTTCGATTACTTGTTATTTATTTGTTATTAAACTGGACTAGATCAAACACAAATTTCACTACCAGATTAGACCGATGTTTTACAAATGTTGGATCCAGATCTTAAATTTACTCAACTTCAAGACTGGTTAGGGCCAGGGTTTTGATTCAGTCAATTAGAGAGATGTGTATTAGCCATGCAGTTCTGATGTTGACCAAAATTTCTGCAAGGATGTTTGGATCCAAGGTTCTAGTACAGACCTCTTGCAGGCATTATTTCATTTTTAAAATACTTAATACAATTATATCTCTTTCCCCTCCTTTCCTTGGTGCAGAAGCAAGAAACAAACCTCAAAAGCTTGACACAAGGCTATAAGGAACAGTCTACGAAACCTGAAATAGACAAAAGATTCAATGTCATGACTTCTCCAACAAGTGACAGTGCACCAGCCAGCCTTCCAGCTTTGGAAACAAATAGCAGTGAAAACCTATTGCAAACGGAACATACCACATTACAAATCTGCACTGATCTAAATGCTCCCCACGATATGGGGCACAGCAAACAGCAACTGCCGTGCTGGGACCAAAGAATTAATATTACAAGTAACAATACTGCATCAAGCAGTGACATCTCACCCTGTTTTTTACAGGACACCAGCTCTGTTACAAATAAGCAAGCAAGTGCTTGTGCTGTCCTTGCTCCTACAGATATATGTGACGAGCAAAGGAACAGAAGGAAAACATCTACTGCTAATTTTCATGACAGCAGCAATGCAAATACCTTCTATGATGAACTGTGTGATCAATATGTGTTTGAAGCAGACTGCCAAGCCGTCCTGGAATCTGTGAAACCTGAGTGTGGAGGCAGTGATTTATTGGCAGTACATGATGAGCTTCTGAAACTTCTCTGTGAAGAAGATTCAGACTATCCCTTCCCATATGAAAACAAAGGGGTCACAAGCCTAGAAATTAGACCTGCAGTTGTCGAAGCCTCAGAATTACACTTTACAGAAGCAGCCTGTACTGAACATCCTGTGCTAGTAAATATGACAGAAGATAATGAACCTGTCATAGGTCTGGCAAGTGAATTAGGAACAGAAAAGGAGGACCGTAGTGATTCCAATGGCCTGCTAAAAACAGATGAAGCATGTAGCAGCACATCCATAGGAAAGATTTCTCTTTCACAAATTGTGGAAACAGATGGTATATGTCTGTGTTCCAGCTTTGGAAATAAAGCAGAAGCACCAGCCATTCATTCTTTAACAAATGATATCTTAAATGCAGAGGAGGGCTCAGAGCTGGAGGCAAACAAAACATTAACTAATGTTAATGGCTCTATTCAAATATCTGCTGCACAGAAAGGGAAGCTTAGTGATGATAATTCTTTCCAGTCTTGTGATACAGAATCTCCTCAAAGATTAATGACTGCTCAGAGTCCTCACTTAGAGCGGGACCAAGAAAACCCAATGTATATAATGGATGATTCTATCAGTCAGTTACTTTGCATTGAACAGAACATACATTTCATAAATGATTCTATAGCTAAGTGTAGAAATGAACTGTCCACTGAAGACACTCATGATACACATTGTCACCCAGCAAGAAACGAGGACACTAATCCTGACTTTGAACAAAAAGACAAGTTTTTCAGAAATGCCTCCTGTGAAAATACCAGTCAATTTACACGTGAAAAGCACCCATCGGTTACAGCAGGCAGTAAAAGTTCTGAAGAGAATTGTCATGGGAAAGAAAATGAGTCAGACCAGAACACTGCAAATGACAGTAATTCTGATCCTTCAAGAGATAATGACAGGAAAGCTTTTCAAGCTGCTTCAGATGCACAGGACTGCAGTCATCTAATGTATCTGCATAGCTCAGTCATGAGTCCTGAATCTGCAACATCTAGAGATGCATCAGAAAACGTAGCTCAGGTTCACAAGACAGCAGAGATAAGTGTGGAAGAAAAGGCCTCAACAGAGGATCAGTTTATAAGTGAAATGTTCCTGGAAAAATCCAAAGATGAAGAAAATAAAATGGACAAAGGTAAGAAGGATCTTGGATTAGATGATAAGCAAAAGACTGTGATTTTAGCTGTTCCTATACTGAACCATATTTCAGAATGTCAGCCTTCAGATTCTTATTACAGTGCATCAGAAGGAAATGCCACCTCTTTTGACCAGGGTTTTGAGACTTGGGGAGAGTTAACAATGGTTTCTCCAGTAAGTAACACTTGTAAATCTGGAAATGTAGCAATACTTAGTATCATTCAACCAGCAAGCATAGGAAATGAATACAACAGTACAGCTAACCAAGATTGTAAAGATACCACTGATATGGTAGACAATTCCATCCTTGGTACCCAACAAGCAAATCTAAGAGAAACTTTAACTATAAAACCCAGGAACCAAACTGAAGGACCATCTGTCAACACATGGGCAATGGCATGCTCTAGTGTAGAAAATCTAGTGCAGCCAGAACCCACCCAAATGAAAATAAAGACTGAGGAAAACTTCAACAAGTTGGAAACCATGTCAGAGCCACTGCAGGACCAGTGCCATGCTATTGCTGATGAAAACAAGGATGAGGCAATTTTGTGTAAAAAGAAAACTGAACAAATCCAAAAAGTCACTGACTATAGTTCAGATGAAGTTGAAGTGGAGCCTTATATGCGTGCTTTGATTAATGCAGATGAAGAGGAGCATATTAGGAATTACAGCCCTGGACAGTCCCATTCAGACAGAACACCTTCCAGTCAGCAGTTTGGAGCATCTGTTAACATGCCTGGGATTGAATATGCAATTGAGGCTACTCAGCATAATAAAAATGAGGAATTCACAGCTGGAGAGAGTCAAAACTTGATTCCATCAACATGCTTAACAGGGGGGTTAGTAAGTCCCCCAATATGTGTCTCAGAGAACACCCATCATTTGCAGGAACAGCTACTCCAAAGCAAATCTCAGCAGTTCACATTACCAGTGACCATAGATGGTTCACTCACATCCAGAGAAAAGAGGACAAAGACTCAAGAGGGATCAAAACCCTGCAAAGTATCACAAGCTCTTGCTGGGCCAGAGGATATGAAGAGTAAGCAAAAAGTAATATGTAATGGGCCACTAGCTGAGGGGGCTAAGAAGAAAATGCCATCAAAAAAACCCCGACAAGAAGAAAAAGAAAACGTCAGTAAGAACTCCAGCTGTGTTAAAAAAGTCCTGAAAGCAGAAGCAGGTGCAGTTCATAGAGAAGACAGGGTGGAGACAATAAAATTACCTTCCAGAAAGGACAGTAAAGGTAGGAGGAAACTTTCTCTCCCCATTTCACACTTATCTCAGAATATAGTATGAAATCCAGATAGATGCATCTGCTAAGTCTCCTTCAGCTAAATGTAGTCAGACAGAGGTGCCCTGCATTCATTTATGTGAATTTCCATTCACTGAGCGAATAAGTACAGCTATTGTATATTGCAAATCTGATCAGCCCACAGCTGCCTTCCCCTAGCTGGCAAATGCATTATGTTTTATGAATTTTTAATACAGTTTATAAAGTAATTTCTGCTGCTGCTTTTTGCTACTGAAGTCAAAGCCGGGAGATGTAATCTATGTTGCAATGATTTTGCCAGTAGAATTCATGCATTATAACCAGAGCAAACACAGTAATATCATGGCAAACTATGCCTGCCTAGTGTTACTTTCACAATTTTGTTACACCCTGCGTTTCCCTAAAGTAATTACATTCTGTTGGGTATACAATGTTTTTAATGCTGATAAATTGTTGTTGTTATTTAACTAGTACCATTGATATGAACAGTGCCATACAGACATGAAACTATGAAAGACCTGGTTCTGTTCACCCTTTACCAGTATAAAACCTGCTCAACTCTTTGAAATCAATGGCCTGAAAATGGCATTAAAAGCCACCTAATTTAAAGGTGAATCAGATCAATGGTCTCTGTCCCAAGGTGCTCAAAGTCTAGAAAGACAAAACCCAAAGAGATGAGGCTGAAGTTGATTCCTTATTCCCAGTTCCTTATTCCTGATTCCCTATTCCTTATTCCTAGTTCCTTATTCTTTATTCCTGGTTCCCGGTTCCTTTTTCAAAGCTAATCTAGATCCAATAAAAACTTGTTATTAATGACTTCCACATCCTAAAGAGAGAGAATTTCATTAGCTATGCATATATACTAATTAATATATAAAATAATATCCCACATCAAGTATAGAGCCCTAAATGAAGGTCAGATTTGGATGAGATTATGGGGCAAAATACTTCTTGGGCTACCCCAAATCTCATGGTGATGCCACTGGGGGACTGTCCCAAAGAACCTGACCACAGTCCCTCCAGGCCCAAAGCACAGTTTGGCTGTGCCAGGCTGCCAACTAACAGCCCCCACACCCACTGTACTAAGTATAATGGTTTGAATAAGGAACTGGTATTCGGGCTGGGATTATGGCTAGAAATTCTGCTTGGGCCAACCATCAGAATACCTCTGTGCCACCAGGGTACTGTCCTGGACATCTGTAACCAGAGACTTGCCCAGCCCAAAGCACAGTTTGGCTGTGCCAGGCTGGCAACAGACAGCACCCCAGCCTCTGTGCTAAATACATGGAACTGAATAAGGAACTGGATTTTGGGCTGGTATTATACCCAGAAATCCTTTTTAGGCCACCCCAGACCACACCTCTGTGGCACCAGGGGACTGTCCTGGACATCTCTGACCAGATACTTGCCCAGCCCAAAGCACCGTTTGGCCATGCCAGGCTGACAATGGACAGCACCCCAGCCTCTGTGCTAAATACATGGAACTGAATAAGGAACTGGATTTTGGGTTGGGATTATACCAAGAAACCCTTCTTGAGCTACCCCAGACCATGTCTCTGTGCCACCGGAGGATGCTTCTGGACATCTCTGAGCAGAGACTTGCCCGGCCCAAAATGTGGTTTGGCTGTGCCAGGCTGCCAACAGACCGTACCCAAACCACTGTGGTAAGTGTATGAACCCAAATAAGGAACTGGATTTTGGGCTGGGATTATACCAAGAAATCCATCTTGAGCCACCCCAGACCACACCTCTGTGGCACCGGGGAACTCTCCTGGACATCTGTGACCAGAGATTTGCCCAGCCCAAAACACAGTTTGGCCGTGCCAGGGTGCCAATTAACAGCACCCCAGCCACTGTGCTAAATTAATGGACCTGAATAAGGAATTGGATTTTGGGCTGGGATTATAGCTAGAAATCCTTCTTGGGCCACCCAGACCATGTTTTTGTGCCACTGGAGCACACTTCTGGACATCTCTGAATGGAGACTTGCCCGGCCCAAAACGCTGTTTAGCTGCACCAGGTTGCCAACTGTCACCACCCCCAAGACACCGTGCTAAGTATATGAAACTGAATAAGGAACTGGATTTTAGGCTGGGATTATCCCCAGAAATCCTTCTTGGGCCACCCCAGACCACACCTCTGTGGCACCGGGGACTCTCCTGGACATCTGTGACCAGAGACTTGCCCAGCCCAAAGCGCGTGTTTGGGTGCTGGCTGTTGTCAGCCTGGCATGGTCAAACTGCGCTTTGGGCCGGGCAAGTCTCTGGTCAGAGATGTCCAGGATGGTCCCCTGGTGCCACAGAGGTGTGGTCTGGGGTGGCCTAAGAAGGATTTCTGGGTATAATACCAGCCCAAAATCCAGTTCCTCATTCGGGTCCATACACTTAACACAGTGGCTGGGGTGCTGTCTGTTGCCAGCCTGGCACGGCCAAACTGTGCTTTGAGCCGGGCAAATCTCTGGTCACAGATGTCCAGGACAGTCCCCCGGTGGCACAGAGGCATTTTGATGGGTGGCCCAAGCAGAATTTCTAGCCATAATCCCAGCCCGAAAGCCAGTTCCTTATTCAAGCCATTATACTTAGTATAGTGGGCATAGGGGCTGTTAGTTGGCAGCCTGGTACGGCCAAACTGTGCTTTGGGCCTGGTGGGACTGTGGTCAGGTTCTTTGGGACAGTCCTCCAGTGGCATCGCCATGAGATTTGGGGTGGCCCAAGAAGTATTTTGCCCCATAATCTCATCCAAATCTGACCTTCATTTAGGGCTCTATATTTGATGTGGGATATTATTTTACATATTAATTAGTACATTTGCATAGCTAATGAAATTCTCTCACTTTAGGATGTGGAAGTCATTAATAACAAGTTTTTATTGGATCTAGATTAGCTTTGAAAAAGCAACCGGGAATAAGGAATAAGGAACTGGGAATAAGGAACCAACTTCAGCCTCATGACAAAAAGGCAGCAGCATAAAAGCAGCACAATGAAGCATTTGCAGTAGAGACACCATTTGGCTTAGTCCAGGGTCCCTTTTCATTTTTTAAAGATTCCATTTAATGTTCACATCACAATGCAAGTTCAGATGAAGTCTTTAATTACTGCGGCATGAGAGCGGGGATGGACAATGAATGGAAGATAGCTACCTGTCTAGCAAGGGGTTCAAAAACTCTAAGCACGGAGGCTGGCTCTTGACTTTCTCCAGGGACATAGTTAATTAAATCTGTCCAAAGGTGATAGAAAAGATATTTCCTTTGCACTAAAATTTGCCTGCTAGAGATGACCATAAAAGGACATTAAGGGAGATGTGCTGCAGCAGGCAAAATAAATGATTGGCACTGGTCGGGAATTTGCTGCAGAGAGGTCTGTTTTACAGCTGCTGTCATGACAATGTCTGGAATTGGCAATGCAGTGCAAAACCAGAAATTACAAAAGAACCTAACAGGCATGAAAAGAGGGAATACCAAGCACATTCTTCCAAGACAGCAGATCATGTAGTACACAGATACTTAGAAGCACCTGATCAGGGTTTGTGTACTTCAGTATAAGATTCAAGAGGAAGTTTTTTCAAAATTTGTCCTGGCAAAGTGCAGTCTTATTGTATGTGGCTCTTACATACCTGTTTCTCATCTGCTTTGAACATGAATGGATATTTCTAATTTGTGGTGGTTGTGTGAGCCTAACATCTCAGGGCACCTATGCACATGCAGTGAGGCTGCTCCAGTGTACTGTAATTAATTGAGCTGCTGGAGCATGGTAATTACCTGTGTACTAGCATCTCCACACTGAAAAATGGTGGTGGGGAAGCTTTAACTCAAGTTTGTTCTGCAAGATGCTCTGGAGCCACTCTAATTAAAGTGTCCCCCCCTCCCCCGTCCCAGAGCATGTGTATAAACACCCTCAATGTTTAGACCGGTGTCAATGAGGTGGGGAATCAGTCCTATGGTATTAATCACAGTATTTTCAGTCTCTGACTTGATGGTTAAGGTTGGGTATAAGCAGGTCTTTGTACTATTTCCAGCTCTATCACATACCTCTGGAATGATCTTAGGCAAGTCATTTTTGGCCCTGATTCAGCAAGATTCTTAAAGTTAGTTCCAATAAAGGAGTGAGGCCTGCCTCAAAATTAGATGCTGCAACACTTTCCCTTTAGACCTCTAGCCCCTCGAGTGGCGTCAGAATTCTTAGTGAGGCACCCGGGCTCCTTGTAGCACGCGGAGAGAGTTCAATACCTCAGAAAGGAATCCAAACCAGCTAGAAAATTGAGCAGGGAGCCATCTGGAGGTCAGCACACTCAGGGCCAGATTCCAGTCTCTGGATTCTGTTTCATCTTTTAGGTGTGTAAGTGGACTTAGGCATTTAAGTGCAAATCATTCCACCTTGCTCAGTCCCTGAAAAGCAGTTAATAAGGTGTGTGGGTCCTCCCCTTCCTCACTACTAGTTTTTTGTGACTCAGTCATAAAGATTAGGTGATGGTGTGTTACAAAAGTAGATCCACTAAGGGATTTTCAGAATTGAACAGGATGAAATAGAATTGCACTTATGGGCAGAGGGTGGATTAATGCATGGGCTCCTGCCAATCAGGGGTCCCCTGGGGTACCAGGGGCAGCATGGCTCAGGTGAGCATCCTTGCCACCGGCTTCCGGGGTGGGCAGCAGGTGCCTCCTCCCCTCCAGCCAGGGACAGGGCCAGGACCAGGCCCCTGGCCCAGCAATAGGGTGGAGCACAGGGCTCCCTGTGGGCAGCAGCAACTTTCTGGGTCTGTCTGCTGCCAGGAGGCCCCATGGGTGGTCCCACTTCTGCTCCCTGCCATCTGCAGACAGCCTCTGGCACCAGCACTGCTGGGACGGGACAGGACAGGACAGTCCCATCCCACCCCACCTGGGCCAGCAGAGGGGGTGGGCAGGCAGCCAGGGGCTGACCTCATGGCCCCCCACAAACCAGCCCCAATCCCGGCCCTAGCCCATCCCACAGAGCTGG